TTCACCAGTTTCACCGGGGAGTGGGTCCCTAGAGATCTTCTTGCTGTCATATGCTGGAGGCTGTTCTATTAACTTTTTTATTGTGTACTGGACATCGTAATTGATACACTGGAGACTCTGGATTCTGTATCTTCCTAGGAAGACTGCCAAGTTTTGTCCAAGGGAGTGAAATCCCTGGCAGATCAACTCAATGTTACTGAGACTTGGTGTAGGCTTTGTTAGGTCCGGTCTAGTTCCGTTTTTCCTTTTGGTCCTAGGAGTAGCACTTGGTCCTGAAAAATGGTCCTTAATCCAAATCATGGTTTCAAAATCAAGTCCAGTGTTTATCAAGCCACTCCAGTTGGAAATATTTGAACTCCAATGTCTATATTCTCAGTACTTGGCAGCTGCTAAAATCCCTACTCCTATATTCCTGCCTTCCTGCTGTTTCCCTCTCAGCTTCCTGGAGTCTTATCCTGTGCACACTCAAGTTGACTCAGCCAAGGATTTGAGACACATTTGAATGCACATTTGGGGCTTCCCTCTCAGATTTCCTCTGCAACTTCCAAACACTGTTTTGTTTCCAAATAAGACCTCTTATTGCTTAGCCTAGTAGGACTGCCACTTTATGCATGAGCTCTGCCTACAGTGTGCCCTGTGCATTGGGGAGTTCTTTCTGGGGAAAAGACATATATATATGATCTTACTCAGTGAGTGTTCCTTTTATGAAGGTTGTATTTCTTAAATTTTCTCTTGTTCACTCTCCAGGCCCTTCAAACAGTCTTATTCTTTAAGTATTTTGTCCAGACTTAATACAGTATTGGCAGGAGGGTATCTGATATAGACTACTCTCACATTACCAAAAGCCAGAAGTAAATCTGTTCATTCTTTTCTCTTAACATTCTCATATAGTGGTTCATTTTCTCTTTTTGACAGTGATTTCATGTTTGAATTTAATTTGTGAGAGTATGGGTACCAAAGATTTTTTTTTCCAAAACAGATTTGTGTTTTACTGTAATGGTTTCCAACAAGTGCTGGACTCACTTGATTTTCTTGACCTATGGATTTCATAACTGGTTTGAAACCCATGATCTATGTAAAAGCAAGCCTGTAATTATTGTAAGGGTGGCATCATTACCATCATTTACAAACTGGAAAATGGGCAGGGTCAAGATTCCCCTTTACAAGAAGGCAGCTTTCCCTAACTCAGCTTTTCACTTGTGTACCTCCTTTGTACATCTCAGCTTCAAGCAGATGGATATTTGGTTCAATTTCGCAACTATGTGCAGACTCAAGATCTAAGCTCCATTCCCTAAAATCTGAGCATTATATTTTTTTCCCCAGGAGAGGAACAGTTTTCATAGTTAAGAGTTACTTCTTTGGTTAAGTTTACATATAATTTTTCATTTCTTTCTTGACCCATAGGAATTTTCCATATTTCTTATGAGATTAGCTTTCCATTTAAAAGTTTGTTTTTTGCAATTTATTCAGCCTTTGGGTATTTTGTAGCAGTAAGGGCATTTTTAGAAAACATTGATGTTATAAGTGTGAATACTTTCAACATTTCCCCCCGGTGCTTTATTGATGTATAATTTACATACAGTGAAATGCACAAATCCTAAGTATATATGTTAAAAAACTTAAGTGTCTATGCAGTATTACTATTACCTAAATCAATACATAGCAGCTCTGGTAGCATAGTGCCTAAGGCACTTGACTGCTACCCAGAAGGTTGGCGGTTCAAACCCACCAGCCACTCCTCAGAAGGAAGGTTGGGCAATCTACTTCCATAGTGATACTGCCTCAGAAAACCAAGGAGGGGTCACTATGAGTCAGGGCTGACTCGACGGCACACACCACCACAAATCAATGCATGGAATATTCCCATCACCATACAAAGTTCTCTTATGCCACTTACAAATTTATACTTAGATTTATCTAGATTTGTTTTGCCTACTCTTGATATATGAGAAAAATATCCATGCATATTATGTAAATATTATGGTAGTTAAGTTTGTGTGTCAACTAGGCTGGGCCTGGCTGAATTGCTGGGCAGCTGGATGTAGTATTCCCCATGAAGAGACTGATACCTCCATGGTGGAATCTACTGTGAGCAGCTAAGTGTTGCCTTAGGGATGTGGTCTGCTTCCTGTATATAAGGAGAAGCCTTGGGGGAATGGCCTCTAGCTTATGGCATGATTGAATCTTGCATGCAGCTGAATCATTGTTCAGCAGCCTGCCATGCTCTGCCGATCCTGGGACTTTCAATGGACTTGAATCAATGGCATGCTGTGTGGTTTGGTAACAGCGGGACTGTACCTTTTTACCTGTCAACGTTGGGCTTGTCAGTCTCAGCAGTCAGCAGCTGTCTGAGTGAAGAAAAGCCTCTAGCTTCAGTTGGCCGGGAGCAGGAGGTGGAGCTGAAGCCCAAGGCTGAGGGGCTTTCACCCAGCCCCTAGAGCCTGGCACTTTGAACTCAGACTTAAAGCCTTCAACTTGTAAGAGAATAAACTCCTGTTAAAGCCATCCCATTTGCCGTACATTGTCAAAGCAGCATTAGGTAACCAGAACATATATGCTTATCAGTATCTGTATTTATCAACATAATATAAAGACACGTAAAATACAGCATGTACTCTTTAGTGTCTAGTTTTCTTTGCTCAACAATGTTTTTGAGATTTATCCCTACCATTCTATCAGCAATTTGTTGTTCTTTCGAATTGCAAGGTAGTATTGTCATGGGGGTGAAAATAGTTAATGTGCCGGGCCGCTAACTCAAAGGCTGGAGGTTAGTCCACTAAGAGGTGCTTTGGAAAAAAGGCCTGATTGTCTACCTCTGAAAACCCTACTCTGACACACGTGGACTTGTCATGAATTGGAATGGACTTGGCAGCAGCTGTTTATTCCACTGTGTAAATATGTAATTATTAACTTGTTGACTGATATTTGCATAGTTCCCAGTTTGTGAGCATTATAAGTAAAGCTGCTGTGAGTATTCTTGTACTGAAGAAGAGTTGATGCTTTTGAGCTGTAGTGTTGGCGAAGAATACCGAAAGTACCATGGACTGCCAGAAGAATGAACAGATCTGTCCTGGAAGAAGTGCAGCTGGAATGCTCCTTGGAAGCAAGAATGGCCACACTTCATCTCACTTACTTTGGTCATGTTGTCAGAAGGGACCATTCCCTGGAGAAGGATATCATGTGCGGTGAAGTGGAGGGTTAGAGAAAAAGGGGAAGGCCCTCGATGAGACGGATTGATACAGTGGCTGCAACGTATAGCAGGGCTCAGGTATACCAAGGATTGTGAGGCGGCACAGGACCAGACAGTGTTTCATTCTTTTGTACACAGGGTCTCTATGAATTGGAGCCGAATCAACAGCACCTAACAACAACAATCTTATTGTGAGCATATGCACTCACTTCTCTAAAAGTGCAATTGTTGAGTCGTAGGCATACATTTACATTTATAAGAAACGGGAAGAGTTTCCCAAGGTGGTTAGACCATCTTACACTCCAGCAGTTGTTCCACATTTTCACCAGGCAGCGCTATGTCCTTGTTTTTTTTTTTTTTTTTTTTATCACTTTTTGCATTTTCTTACAGTGCATGTTGAACACCTTTTCCTGCCAGCTGGTCATCTGGGTATTTACGAGGTGCCTAGTTGAGTCATTTGCTTTTTTTTTTTTAAATCCTGGGTTACTTTTGTAATGATTTTTAAGAGTTGTTTTATGTATTGCAAATATTGTCTCCCAGTCTGTGGTTTGCTTTTCTTAACAGTACCTTTTTGAAGAGAAGTGTTTAATTTTGATGAAATTCATCCATTTTTTTTTCTTAGAGTTTTTTTTTATCCTGTTAGTATCACATTCTCCTAATTACTATAGTATTAGAGCAATTCTTGGTGGTATAAGTTCTCCAACTTTGTTTTTTGTCTTCAAGATTATCTTGGCTATCCTAGGCCTGTTAGATTTCTATACATATTTGCCAATTTATATAAGACCGACTGGTAGATTTTGATTTTGTTGAATTTATAAATCAATTTGTGGAAAACTGCCATTTTGCAGCTATGCAATCTTTCAAGCCACAAGCACAGTATATCCATTTACTGCAATGGTCTTTAATTTTTCTCATAATGTTTTGTAGTTTTCAGGGTAGAGGTCTTATACATCTTTTGTTAACTTTCTTCCGAGGTATTTGACTTCTTTGATGCTACTGTAAATGATATATTTTAAAATTTAATTTTCAATTGTTTGTTGCCAGTGGATGAATACACAACTGAGTCTTGCCCATTGACCCCATATCCTACAAAATGATCAGTTCTAGTAGATTTACTGACACAGACTTTATCAGGCAAACTCAGTAATCTTCAAACAATGGGAGAATGATAGAAATGTCATATGATTGGAAACATCTAATTTTCCAAACAGTAAACAGCAGCTCACTGTTTGTCTATCACTTCCCACAGTTATCTTCAAAAACAATACCTTCTGAACTTTCTCCTCTGGAGAACATGTAATTCTGGAATTAAATTTGTTCTGCAAATACTTCTTAGACGATGACTACTTTAACTCCAAGAAGAGTACCACAACTTTAGAGAGGAATCTTTGTTTTTCAGCTGAATGTAGAACAGAGAAAGGAGGACATAGTGTACTTGGTGCCCTTCATTTGCAGAATGGTGAGCAAAGTACCACTTTCTAAGAATGTTAATTAGAACAGAAGCACAGACATATTAAAATGGTTTGGGATGGAGATGGTGAAGAGATGCTGTAAATTCCAAGTTCAGAGGACCACTAGAGGAGAAGAGGTTTGGTTAGCTTTGTGAGGTTCAAGTCATCCTTAACCATCAAGATTTATGAATTCTTCACTGGTCAAACAATAATCACTCATCCCATCTTTCCATCCTTTCTCAATTTGTTCTTCCCAATTTGATTTACTGTAGAGTAATTAGCATATTGCCTAATCTACAAAAAGCTATAATGAGCAGGGATCCATTTTAACTTCAAATAAAACCAATGTAAGGCACAACTATTCAGGAATAGTTTATATTTTCAAAGTATTTAGGAACTCTTTAATTAGAAAAATAAAGGCAATGGGATTATCTATCAGGTTCTAAAAAGTACCCATGAATTAAACCACATACATCCCCACTTAAAAAACAAAACCAAACAAAATCTTAAATCACATTGCTTTTAAGCTCTCTTACAGTAAGGAATAAGTCCAAGCTACACTAGAGTACAAAACTTGACATTCTGAGCATGAAAATAATTTATTGATTAGACATAAGGTTTATTCAAGCATTAGGCCTACCGAAGACAGAACTAACATAGCTCATGGAGTAGGAAAAAAAAAAAAAAAAATTCCACCTAGCACCTGCTTCATTTCAAATTTCCTGGGGACAAAGTTTTATTCATCTATTACAGCCCCACCCTAAAGCTTCAATGTGTGCTTGACGTTAATTAACTTGACATGGACATGAGAAACTTCTTCGTGTACACTCAACTTGGCAGGTATCATTCACCATGCGACTTTCAGAAACATTCTTAGGCACAAGAAGTAGCACTGCCTGCAGTGAGAACCTCTGATAATCAAAGAAAAGAATACCATTAAATATAATCTTATAAACAAGAAGGAATAATATACGCCTTTTAGCCAATGGACTGCTTTAAGTATCAGAAAAAATGTCACACTGAGACTTTCTTTAAGATTAAAAGATTAACTTTCAACTGACCACCAGGTTATTTCCTGGTATTGAAAAATCAAGGAAATGAAAACTGATGTAACTTAAATTGAATTTAGGGAAGAAATGCAGGGCTAGAAATAGGGAGTAACAGCTGCACTTCTTTGGCTACGTTATAAAATGCCAATTAAATATATGCAGTAAAATTTTATTAAAAAAAAAAAAAAAAGCAGCAGATCAACATTACAATTTAAGAATCCACTCTAAATAGGCAGTCGACAATGAAGCACATCTGAGTATGGTGTGAAAAAAGTTTTCCCAAAAAACCCATCAAATGTATCATCTCCAAATATCCAAATAATAAATCACTTCTGCAGACCTTTTGAGTGGAATCATAAACAAAGAACTGAATATTTATTGCTGTGAAAACACATCTGTAGTACAGTAGTACGAAACTCGGCTGTTAAGCATAATCTGATGAATCAAGTTAAGAAGTTGAAGATGTAATGAATGTGTGTATGTATGTGTGTGTGTGTGTGTACAAGTCTGTAAGCCAGCTGACCCAAGAGCAACTGAGATAGACCTAACTTGTTGAGACCAGACATTTTTAGAAGGCAATTAAAAATTACAATTCCAACAGCCCACAAACCAAATAAAATTTTAAAAAACTGTAGAAAGAGATTAAATCTATGTTCAAAGAGCCTTTTTTTTTTTTTAAAGCTCAATTTCAGCACCCCAAGGGAAAACAAAAGAAAACAAAACACCAACATCCATGACTATCACAGATGAAAACAAAATGAATGTCATTGGAATCAGTATTTTTCCCCACTGAGGTATAAAATCTATATAGAAATTTGATACTACACTATAACAAATTGTACTTCTCATAGTTCTGACTTAATTTTCTTTAAACCCTGTTTAATATAGTTTTTTAATTATTGTTGTAAAAATGTTGTTTTCATGATACTAAATCTGGTTCCAGTTCCTTTTCATTTATTTTTATAGCAATGTTTCATATACTGGCTACCAGTTCTAATCAGAAAAAACACCTCAGAAATCTCTTCACAACGACAGTGCATTCAGTAGGAGTTACCGATGTGCAGGCAAACCGTAAACAGGCAGAAAGCACATCTTCCTGACTGTGTCACTGTCTGAATATTCCTTATGACGATTCTTGATGAGACTCTTTCCATCATGTAAACATCAGTGTGCACAGTCTCACGTATGTATGTAGTTTCACGTCCTTGGACAGGAAGGCTGGTTCACAGCTAGTGAAAAGCTAGAGGAGTGTTAGGTTTTAATGGCTGATAAACCTTACATCCCGCAGAGCAGGAAAGTACTTTTCCTTTTTTGCTACTTAAGAATGTGGCAGAAATGTATGCTGAGGTAGCCCAGTCAATCCTTAGTTTTTTTTTTTATTTCTTTCTTGTAAATTTGGTCTCAGAATATTTCTGGCAGGGTGACGTTTCGAAGAAGCCACTGCTGGGACCGGCTTCCATTGCAGTCTCTGATGCTGGGCACCTGGCTGTCCTCTTCTGTGGCTTTGTCCAGGCACTGGTTACTGTTCACATGCTGTAGGGTTAATTTCTGAAAATGACAGAAAAAAAGTCTTAATGAAAACTGGGGGGAGGAGGGGAAACCCAACCGAATCCTTTTTGGTGATTATTAAACTCTGTGGAAAAAGTGACTTTGTTTAAAATAAAATGGAGAGAATGGTGTGTATTTAAAGATAGCATTAAGAGCTGTAGCGGGGAGAAGGGCCCTGGGGTCCAGTTGAAAAGCACTGGACATGGAGTAAGATGACCTAAATCCTAAGTCTCAGCTGTGCCGTAAGCTCTGCAATACTGCAAAGCTTCATTTTTTTTGTGTGTGGCTTACTTTCCTAAAAAATGACCAGAGAAGTGGATTCTAATCTAGGATCCTTAATTTACATTCAAGAAGCTTTTTCAAAAATGTTCCATTTCCCAGTGATGAAGCAGTTCAAGTACACTTTATGGTTCTAAAACCTCAAGTCCACAGAAACTCAGGTCCTTCTGAAGATTCAAAATCAAGAATGTTGGGAATGAGATTTAGTATAATCAGCCTTAAGTCTATGTCTATATCAAACCTAGAAGCTTAGATTTCCAGCTTAATGCAACTAAGGGAGGTGACGGAGCGCAGAAGAAAGAGTAAAGGATTCTGGAGTTGACAGACTGTGTACAGAGCCGGGGTAACTTGTGCTTTCTCGTTAACAAGAGGATAACATGACATATTTTAAAGAAATTTTTAAATAAATACAGGTAACAAATAAAAAGTACCTAACACAGTTCACACAAAACAGGGCCTTAGTAAATGGCTGACAGATCTAGCTATGCATCTTCCTAGCTATTGCATTTTAACAGAAAAAGTACACAGTTTTGCAAATTGCACAACCCCCATGCACCAGTGTCCTACGCTCACTGTGTGTGTTATACACGTGTACATACTGGTTACATGGGTACATTATATGTGGAAATATGGTATTTGTTTACATTCTAGATTTAATGCTGCCATGATGAATTTTAGGATAATTTCAAAAGGGCAGAGCAGATGAGAGCTAACAGATATATGATAGTCACGATCCACACTGATGATCCTGATATAATGCACCATGATCATGTTAAGGACCCCGAAGTAGTTGTGTAGGAATTTGCATTAAGAGGATCCTATAAGTGTTAAACAACTATAATGAAATGTAAGATATGTTAATTAACATGCATTTATCTGATTTTTTCACTCATGGCTCTATTTTAATGTAATTCTTTTATCTGGAATGTTTTCATTATCAGGAAACCAGTTGCCCTAAGATCAGATAAAATGCCACCTCCTTAAATAAGCTCTCTTCAAATGGAGCCTCTTTTGAACTTAAAAACAACCTCTGTATGTGTATATTTCAGCTTCCGGTCACTTATTCTTTGTGTCGCAAAGTGGGAACTGGCAAAGGGCAGTAGTATGCATTTGCAGATGTCACCATTTGCTGTTATCACTGATCATCTACTTTAATTGTTACAAATGCGTAACAAGTAAAACAAAGCCTTGGAGAGCGAGTCAGCCTGGCAGTGGTTATTATGCTTTTAATGCAGATGTTCTGTAGTTTCGTGAGACATTCCTAGAGTGAATTTCAGCAGATTCGTCACATACCAACCACGTGCCCCTGAAAAATTACTTAGCCTCTCTCAGTCCAGTTTCCTCATCTATAAAAAGTGCACAAAGACACCTCACTGAGTGACTGTAAGGAAGCAGTGAGATAATGAAGCGGCGTCTAGCTCAGAGCAAGTACTCCATAAAGGGTCCTCGTTATTGGAAAACTCAACATCCTAACAACGTCCTGCATACCAGGAACACGATCCAGCAGCCCAGCGAGCCGAAGCTCTCCATGCACACTGCTGCAAGGCCTCTAGCCCCACGTCAAGAAAAAAACTAAGCACGAAAGTGAAAGTCGGCTCAGGCTGCTGGGTCCACATCACAGCTTGACTTCTCCCTCTGCCCTGTCCTGCTTTTTTCCTTTCATAAGTGTTGGCCCAAAAGGTGCTCCCTCATTAATATCCTGAACACTGAACTCTATCTCAAACTCTGCCCCCGCCCCCCAAAAAATATTTGATTACAGTTTTGGTGAAAGTGTCCATAGCAAAACAGGTTCCCACTCAACAATTTCTACACATATCGTTCACAGGCATTAGTTATATCCTTTCCCCCCCCTCTACTACAGGGTATATTTGTTTGTTTTTACCAAAGTAAAGTAGCTATAACAACAGCAACAACACTAATCTACCACAGCTGACGTAGTCACTGCCCCATTCATATTTCCTGGGATCTCAGTATACTGTTTTCATTTTTTTAATATTTTTGTTGTTGTTGAGAATATATACAGCAAAACATGCACCAATTCAACCATTCTACATGTACAACTCAGGGGCACTGATTGCGTTCTTCAGGTTGTACAACCACTCTCCTCCTTTTCTGAGTTGTTCCTTTCCCGTTCACATCAACTCACTGAGCCTTAAGGCCCCCATGTAATCTTCCAGTTTGCTGTTGTCAATTTTATTCCACACAGATAGTTCTCAAAAGAGTGCAATGCTAAGGCAGACTCTTTTTTTTTTTTTTTTTTTACTAGTTAAGCTAAACTATTGTTTGGTTGTAAGAAGACTTCAGGGGGTATTTCTGTTTCAAGGTTTAAAGATCTCAGGGCAACTGTTTCAGGCGTTTATCCAGTTCCCATGGCTCTAGAAAGTCTGGTGTCCATGAGTCTGGGATTTGAAATTCTGTCAAACTTTGCTTCTGGGAGAACCCAGACTGTGACACTAAAATTTCCTGTCGGGGGTGAAAAATGATCTAGTCTCTAATCAAAGTAGTGACCTAGCAAAGTGATCCAGAAATTCTAAGACTTACACTCATGACTAGTTCTTTCTAAATACCCCATCTCTAGCTTCTTACATTCCTCATCAAACATTTACTTTTGGAATATTTGTTTCAACAGACTCTGTAAGATGGCCACCCAACAGCCATTTCTGCTCTTTCGCCTTGCTCCCTCACACACCAGGATGCCCGGAAAACCAACTGCTTGCTTTCCCAGCTTTCCTTGCGCTTGGTGGGCACCATGGCATGAAGTTCTGGCCTAGAGGACATAAACAGAGTTTGCTGAGGGGCTCCAGGTAAAGCTTTGCTTTCTTGATAAAGAGCAAAACATGTGGCTGTTCAACATTCCCACCCCCTTTTTTCCTGCCTTGAGCCAGGATGGGGCAGTGAAGGTACAGCAGCCATCTTGTCGTTATAAGGCAAAGCCACAAAACTGTTAAGACATTAGTCCTGATGTCACTGGGCCATGTAAGCCACATGAGGGGCCACGTATTTCCAGACTGAAAAAAAAACCAAATTCACTGCTGTCGAGTCGGATCCGACTCACAGCAATCCCTCCTTGGGTTTCTGAGGCAGTACCACTACAGAAGTAGATTGCCCAACCTTCCTTCCGAGGAGTGGCTGGTGGGTTTGAACTGACAGCCTTCTTTTCTGCTTAGCAGTCAAGTGCCTCAGGCACTAGGCCACCAGAGCTCCCTATTTCTAGACTAATTATGTAAAAAACAATAAAACCCTATTTGTTTAAGCTACTACGAGGAGGTTTAGCATTGTCTAATGAATACACTGTCATTTCCATTTCCAAATGAACTTAAATGTAAGAGGATTTTATTATTATTATTATTACAATGCCTCTGGGGTACTACTGGCATTTACTGTCTGGAGCCAGAGATGTACTTCTTGCAGTGCATGGGGAAGTCACACTGAAAATGGCAACTGTACCCACGATGGGAAACCAGGAACAGAATGCTCAGGCTGTTTCTAATGGCCACATTAACGGAACCGTTACTATATTTAATATTACTGTTACTATAGTTTTACAGAAGAGTCCGGATGACATGGTGGTTAAAGTGGTTGGCTGCTAACTTAAAAGGTTGGCAGTTTGAACTCACCAGCTGCTCCATGGGAGAAAGATGTGGCAGTCTGCTTCCATAAGTGTTTATGGCCTTGGAAACACTATGGGGCAGTTCTACTCTGTCCTATAGGGTCACTATGAGTCTGAATCTACTTGATGGTAATGGGATAGTTTGACACTGTGAAGGGAGACACAGAACCATAAAACATGGTCTCTTCCCATTTAAATGTAACAGTTTAGTAGTAGAGAAAAGACAGATAATAAATAACTACAAAGAAACACAAGCAGTACAGGGGTCAAAGAGGATTATAATTAAGTTGGGGCAGAGAAAGCTCATTCTTGGCTGGGATTCACAGAAGTGAGGTCAAAGCTGGAATGTCAAGAATGGGCAGGATTTGTTAGGCAGAGAAAGAAGAATGACCTTAAATGTGAGTGGGAAAGTATAGGGCATATTCAGGGCATATACTTCAGTGAAGTAGACCAGGGTCTGTATGCGACACGGTACAGAAAGAAAAGGAGGCTGACGTCATCACTCTGGACAACACCTACGTTTAGGGAGTACGTGAGGAAGGAGAGTGAGCCAAGCAGACAAAAAGAACAGAAAGTAAATAAAGAGAAGAACCTAAGTAGTAGGGCTTCTAAAGCCAAGGGATAAAAGGATTTCAAAAAATCATCCTAGCAATGGTAAGTGCTACAGAGAAATTAAGGGAAAAATAGACTAGAAAGTTCACAGTGTCAGGCCAAGGCAGGAACCAGGTTGGTGAACCAAAGGCATGGGTACAGGATACCCACTCCCCTTTTTATCAAAAGCACGTAACATGGAAGATGGTATACAGAAAGTAAAAACTATTGCCACCAGGTCAATTGTAACTCACAGTGACCCTCACTGGGTTCTCAAGGCTGCAAGTCTTTATGGAAGTAGATTGCCTCATCTTCCTCCTGTGGAGCAGCTGGTGGGTTTGAACTGCCTACCTTTTGATCTTTGTCATATGAAAAAACCAAACCAAACTCACTGCTGTCGAGTCAATTCTGACTCATAGTGACCCCCCATTGGGTTTCTGAGGTGGTATCTCTACAGAAGTAGATTGACCAGTCTTCCTTTCAAGGAACGGCTGGTGGGTTTGAACTTCCAGCCTCTGGTTAGCAGTCAAATGACTTAGGCACTACATCACTGAAAAATTACTATGAGTCAGGGAATTTTACTAAGACTCCCTTTTTACAAAATTTTTTAGTTCAGTTATTTAAAAAGCCTACTTACTGCTGCATTTCTTCCACGCTAGACTACAGCGCTTGAGGACACAGAGAAGGATCAGGGGCTATGCAGAAACAACAAACACTCAGGGAATGAAGGCACCTATGATTTTGTAAGACTAGATTAATTATAAGGAGCTCTGGTAGTGTAGTGGTTAAAGCATTTGGCTGCTAACGAAATAGCCAGTGATTCAAATCTACTAGCTGCTCCAAAGGAGAAAGATGAGACAGTCTGCTACTGTAAAGACTGACAGCCTTGGAAACCCTGTGGGGCAGTTCTACTCTGTCCGAAAGGATCGCTATGAGTTGGAATTGACTTGATGGCAGTAGGTTTGGTTTTGGTTTAGTTTAATCACTGGGGAGAATCAAACATATTTGTTTTACTTATTTTTTTCATCTATTAATTTTTAGAGTATAAGAATACTCATATTCAAACTCCTCAAGAATTCATTCCTTTAGCTATCAAATATATAAATATATCCAAATGACACACATTTGTTTTTTCCTTTAGAAAACCAGGTAACTTACCACTGGGTCATACTCCCAAAGTTGGTTGCCTTTCAGGTGGTGGCATTTGAGCATTGTGACTGGGCCATTAAGTTTAGAAACATCCAGACAAAGGTCATCTGTTCTAATTTCTTTGTTGGCAGTATAAGAGAAAACCTGAAAGCAAAAATGCACACGTGTAAGCCTCACAGTACAAAGTGTCTCATATGCTCAAGAATCTGCACGGCAACAACAACTACACCCATTCCTTACAGGGTTAGTTTCCCAAAAGCAGGTTGTTATGTGAAAATGGGATTATACAAAAATGGAGGATGACATCAGATTACAAAATGGAGGATGACTGCAGCAGTACACAGGACTACACGCCAAGCTGCATCATGACATACAACTGGCACACCCCTGAGAACTGCGGCCTGGACAAGCAGACATGTAACCCTAACCCTCTCAGCCAGCGTCACTCTTGCCTTGTACCTCAGCGTTTGTTATTGCCATCATGAGATAAATAACTGGATTGTACATTTTTCACTACTGTCCTAAATGTGAATTGCTGGATAATGAGACAGTAAGTGAGGAGTAGCAATATTTCAAGATAAATGATTTCTGAATTTCATTAAAGTAATGGAGAAAGAAACAGAACTTTGATAAATTTCTAGATTATAAATTAAATAACTGAGAAAAGTTATCACTAAGTTTATAGAGAAAAGCAAAAAAGACCCTGAACGCTACGTATACACTAAGTATACTGTCGAGGTTGTTACCTGTTTGACTAAAAAGCAAACTCAGCACTCAGCAACGTAAATACAGTTCTCACAAGGGGAGACAAGGGTTGACAACTTACAAGGGTTGAAGGGACCTTTAACCAATGTTTCATTTAAAAGTAATAATTAGATTGAAGGTTCCTTTCACCTAAGAGTCTTTATTATTTATTTTTACATATATGAAACTACTTCCTGAATGGTATCATGGGAATAAAAAGGGCAGAGGGGGATGAAAAAAACAATCTGAAAATTATCTCTTTTAAAACTTTACTAAGACACTCACCTGATTACCCCCCATACCATGACAGTTAAAAATTCCAACTTTTTCATTCTCCTTTCTGGCCATGTTATCCAGACATTGATTTGTTTCCACATTTCTTATCTATGGGACAACAGATGGTGAAAATATCAGGAGTTAGAGATGCAGACACACAGAAATCAACCTACTTTCCTTGGTGCTACTATAAAAAAAATCCCTCAAATTTCCCAGGTAACAGGTATAGGTTGGATTTTTTTTTTTTTTTTTTTTTAATCACTAGTTACCTCAAATTCTTTGGTCTAAGTCTTATTAACTGTTTATGTAATTTCTTTGTTTCAAGAGGAATAGTCTTTAAATTCTTATTTCATTTTTTTCAAGCTATACTTCTAGGATTTGTATTTAAGTTCAATATACTCTAATTTGCCTAATACTTTAAAGCAATCTTACAACCCTCTGAGGATACTATTAACAACCAAGATAAGGGGCATTACTTTTGATAACTACTCTGATGACCACTTCTTAGGAAACTGAAGGTGAGTATTTTCTACTCAGAAAGCTTGGAGCGTGGCTTTACTGGAAGCCCAAGCATGGTGTGGTGTAGGCACCACTCTTCTGTCAAATATTTGTCAAGGAGAGCAAAGGAATGTAAATTAGTCATCAGCCTCAGGAAGACTATTTTTGGCAATGCCTTTGCTATTTTGTTTCTTTCGAACCACTACAGTTTAAAAGCATATGGTGAAGTAATAAACCTTTGGAAGTCTTCCATCTATTCCAATGAATGGTACTGTTAGCAAGAAAGCCAGAAGGGAGATGTGCAACAGACATTTGGCATGCCATGGAGACAGAAAACAAGTGTAATCAATCCTGAATGATATAAAGTGGCAGTAAAGTTAAAACCATAAATAGGCCATTTATTGCTTATAAAGACAAATGTACCATCTGCATAGTATTCCAATCTGTGTATGAGCACACGTACCACTAGAAAACGGGTCTTGGGATCAAATGTGTTTGTGAACTACTGGTTTAAACAAATTTTCAATAGCTTTCTTTTCTAAAGACCTTCTCAAAGCCTTTCAGTACACTATGGCTGGCCCATTAAGACATGAGCAGGCTCCAAAGTTCTGATTTTTGAGGCTGGGATCATTCCCAAGGTCTTGTCACAGTGCAAGGTCCCAGAACGACCCCAGACCTAAAGATCTCAGTAGGAGCTGGAAGTGATGGTACCGAAAGTATAAGATATAAAAAGCAGCATTTCCCAAACATTTCTGGGTACAAATCTACTTCCATTTCCTTTATCCACTGTCTTTTTTATCAAGTCCATAGGGAAATTTTGGTTACATCTGAAAAGGAACATGGGTGTTAGTGGTTTAGAGTACAAGCTCTAAGGCCAGACTGCCTGTGTTCAAATCCTGCCTCTTCCATTTTGTGGCTGTGACCACAGCCATGCTGTTTAAACCTTTATCTGTGTTTTAATTTACCCATCTGTTAAGTGGGGATAGTAGCATTCATCTCACAGTATTGATTGGACGATAAAATGATTACTATATATCAAACACTCAGACTTGTGCTTGACATGGAGTCCATGCTCAGTCAATCTTAGATTATTAGATCTGCCCGGAGAATAAATTGGTCAGCCCGTAAGATGAACTAAACCATCAAAGGGTCTGGATCTTTTGCTTTTTGTGATTGTTTAGGATAGTCAACTGCCAGATTAATTAGCTATTAGCTATCACAATGGAACACATTTATTCAGGTCTAGACCCTACAGGAGTTATGGGAGTTAAATTTAGTTGACACCAGACACTGTAAGTTACGTCTCTTACTCTAGTTATTTACACCTTCTAATTGCTTTTGTACTCTAAAGCCCCATGATTTCAGGTTTCCCTCGTTGAAGTGTGACAAGTTATCTCTGAATGGCGACATTCCAGTCTCTGGCTAAGCAGGCTCCCAAAGGTGGAGTGATGGTTGCAATTTAAGATTTCTGGCTGCCCTGTGATGGGTGCTTGGGAACGACCCCAGCCCCCCCAAATCAGTACTTTAGAGCCTGAATAGTGTGGTCTGGTGTTAAGGGCACAGCAGGCTTAGTACCAGCTGCGTAGCTAATAAGGCAGTAAGCAGCAGGCCACACAGGGTAAAACCTGTCCCTTACATAGGAAGCCAGCTGGCAAGGGGCAGGGCATGAGGAAAGCTTGCCTTGGCAATCATCCATTACGGGTTAGACAAGTATTTCTTTGTAACACTTCTAAGCTCTGGCCCAGTCAACAATGCCTAGGTGTTGCCCCAAACTGGGTTAGTTCGAAAGAAAAACAAAACAAAACAAAACAAAACCAACCATCTCCTCACTCTGTATGCTAAAAGCAAGTTACAGGAGCAACTGTTCTAACTCTTCCCACAGCATGTCACCCCTCTGGGCCTTTGTTGACTAGAATGGGCAGCAGCAAAGGGAACAGATTCTCATTAATAAGACCTTAGTGAGTCATTCTCCCTCAAGTGTGAATGAGAATCCGCCAAGGCTCAAGAAAGACAACATAACCCCACACTCCAGGTACGCAGGACACACACCATAACCCCACTCCAGGGCTGCAGGACACACACCATAACCCCACACTCCAGGTACACAGGAGACACAACATAACCCCACACTCAGGTACGCAGGAGACACACCATAACCCCACACTCCAGGTACGCAGGACACACACCATAACCCCACTCCAGGTACGCAGGACACACAACATAACCCCACACTCTAGGTGTGCAGGAGACACAACATAACCCCACACTCCAGGTATGCAGGACACACAACATAACCCCACACTCCAGGTACACAGGACACAACATAACCCCACACTCCAGGTACGCAGGAGACACAACATATCCCCACACTCCAGGTACGCAGGACACACAACACACAACATAACCCCACACTCCAGGTACGCAGGAGACACAACAACTCCACACTCCAGGTGCACAGGAGACACAACATATCGCCACACTCCAGGTATGCAGGACACAACATATCCCCACACTCCAGGTGCGCAGGACACAACATATCCCCACACTCCAGGTACGCAGGACACACAACATAACCACACTCCACACAACATATCGCCACACTCCAGGTACGCAGGAGATACAACATATCCCCACACTCAGGTACGCAGGAGACACACCATAACCCCACACTCCAGGTGCGCAGGACACACAACATAACCCCACACTCCAGGTACACAGGAGACACAACAAATCCCCACACTCCAGGTGCGCAGGACACACAACATAACCCCACACTCCAGGTACACAGGAGACACAACATATCCCCACACTCCAGGTACACAGGACACACAACATATCCCCACACTCCAGGTACACAGGAGACACAACATATCCCCACACTCCAGGTACACAGGACACAACATATCCCCACACTCCAGGTACACAGGAGGACAGGGCACAAGACAGAGTTCCCTGAGACCATCCTCCAAAGCGCAGGTAATCATGTTAACTCATTACAAGTATTAATGAGTAAATTTCACATTTCAAGAAAATTTACTGCTGACTTCTAAAAGAAATAACTAAAGACGTCACCAGAAATAAATATGCCACTAATATTCTCTCAAAACTGAGATCTAAAGTCCCCCCCCCAACCCAATCTCTAGGGGATCAAATTGACAACAGCAACTTGAAAGAGTAGATAGGAACCTTAGGAAATAAATAACATTCCTCCTCTCCAATAAATATATGCTGCAAATCTAATTTATTTTGAATGACCTTTCAAGTTTCCTTGTCATCTTTATAATGTACCTTCACATTTACATTCTTCAAGCTCGGATTTAGACAGTAACACTAACAAATTAGGTTTAACAGTGTATGGTCTCAACTAAAGCAGTGAGTTTGTTAAACAGCAAGTCTACCAAAGATAATGACATATTGTAGCAAGAGCTTAACTGTGAAAGGTGAGGGGCAGAGCATTCTTATTTTGAAATATACCATAATTAAACATTAAAGAAAATTTCAAGTTAGGAGGTAGATTCTGTCAACTAACCAGAGTTTTCTCATGTTTAAGGTTATGTACTTTTAATATAAAGGTATTTCCTTGTCAGAAGTTTAACCTCTATAATTTTTGATGGAGAAGTGAGAAAATAATATTCAGTTAGGATATAGATATAGGATATAGATCTGTATTTTTACCTCTCCCAAAGAGAAATAATGACGTGGAATTTGAGAATCAGGATAAATAGTCTCTAGGTACCAAGAGAAAGGTCTGCATTGTAGTTTGTGTCTTAGACCGAGCCTTGATGATATATCTCCATAGTCCACCTTTGTAACACCTGTTGAAAGAAATAATGGACCCTGGATTACAAGTATTCTATTAGGTCACACAATCCTATTATATACTTCATCTAACAAGCCACATAAATGGAAAACATGGAATTATTTCATATTCATAAACCAGGATTCCAGCTCCCAAAATATAAACAAGGAAAAGACATTAAAATGTGCTTTAACTTTTCAAAGAAAAGTTAATTTTACATGAGAATGAAAATACATGTTAATCATATGACACACAAACAAGTTAAATGGGTTCAGAACACTTTAATAAATATTACAGCAAAGAAACAAAAACAAAAAAACCAAGATCATGGAAACAATAAGTCCTAGCGACTGGTACACCATCAGATCTGCAACCTATACAACTACGAGACCAGAAGAATAGATGGTGCCCAGCTACCACTGTCATCCACTTGGAAGGGATGTAGGAGATCCTGGATAGAGAGGGAGAACAATGTGGAACAAAACTCAAAATCATTTGGAGGGGAAAAAAAAAAAAAAGAAGGTGGGACCGGGTTTGCTGGTCCAATAGAGCCTGGTGGAACCACTGAGACTATGGCCCCTAGCTGCCCTTCAGGTCTGGCATTGAACCCACAACTTGTGGTTTCCAGCCAAACAAAGTACAGGCATGTGAGTTAAACATTTACCTCAAGTAGACACATGCCCTGGAGAGAACAATCATGGGAGAAGGAAGGGCTGCTTACGCACAGGGAGACAGCTCAGGGCGCAGAAGAGTATGGAGGAATGGACACTGGGAAGAGGTAACTATGGGGAGGAAGTGGGAGAGGAGCTGTTGCATTGTGGTAAACTGTGGCCAATGACATGAGACAAAGTATATGTGAACTACTGTATGGAAAGTGAATTTGCTCTGTAAATCTCTACCCAAATCACAATAAAAAACAAACAAACAAAAAAAAAACCCCAGTATCTCTTTTCCCCAAACCAATCAGATATTAAACAGGACAACTATTTCTAGTTGGGTTTCCCTCATACAAGTGATTGAACTGTGCACATTGCTGTATTTACAGTAATACAAAAATGAAGGTGAAATTGTAACAAACTCGGCAGATTTACGGCTGATGGTATAACTGTGCCCACAAAACTCTGACTAGCAGTGAAAAGTTCCTGGGGAGAAGTCCGTGAGGCACATAATGGGGCTGTGTTGGCCTTTCAATATTTGACATTTTTATGAAGGCCCCACACCATGAAGGCATCAAGGCCCCTGCTTATGGAGAGCCCATGTGACCACTGCTCCAGCAGCTGGCTGTGCTGGGTAACAGAGCAAGGATACAGAAAGATGCACACGAGCCAGGGAATGGCTGAAAATTAACTCAGTGCAACTAACCAAGAATAAATGTAAAATGTTACAGTCAGGTTAAAAAAACAGTACCTGCATAACACTGAGGTTTACAGTAGTTTACATAAACTGACTTGGATAATATGTTATTGTTGTTAATAGTATCTTACACCAGCCATTCTACTAAAGCAGTTTTTACCCATTGTGGGATTTGATTTATTCCTTCAAATGATGCTATGAGGTTGGTGTTTTGCCTCTGTTCAAAGCTTGTTTTCTACCCACTCAGAATGTATTAGGATGAGGGATAAGAAAGTGCAGTATTGTGTTTCTAATATAAAATAGTACTCACCTGGGGAAATTATATAGAAGAAATTCTTGAATTCATCCATCCAAACTTCTGCAAGGCGTCTGTTATTTTTATTGATAATCTGCCCTGTGCCTCCCGGAAATGTGTAAGGTGTAGCTTTCCTAAACACATGCCCAACATGTGAGCATGTAACAATTTCCAAAGTACCTCCACACTGCCAGATCTGAAAATAAGAGCAAAGCAGACCATGTAAGATATTTGTGGCTGGGTTTAAAAAACAAAAACAAAAAAACCCTGACTTTTATTGAGTTTCATTGTTGGAATTTCACAGAATCTGACATGCAGTATAGCTCCTGCTATCTGGTCACAGAGCCAGTGCTTCCTCAGGAGCAATGCTTTCTCTAATTTTTGGTTCTGATTAAACATCACAAGTTGAAGGTTAAAACACAGAAAAGAAGGCTGAATGCTAAATATAGAAAAGACATGAGATGAAGTTGAAAACAGTGCTTTATAACTGCAGACCATGACTCATAAATTCATAAATCCAAATTTGATGAATTGCAACCACCACTTGCTATCAGGCCAATACCGTTTCATGACGTGTTTGTTTAAATTCTGTGTGTGTAATGCATAATATATTTATTAATATGATTCATGGTTAAAAAACCTTTGACTGGAGATATCTACCCAGATTCTTTTTCATTTTTTTTTTTTTAAATTGTGATCTGGGTGAAAGTTTACAGAGCAAATTCACTTTCCATACAGCAGTTCACATATACTTTGTCTCATGACATTGACTACAATTTACCCCAATGCAACAGCTCCCCTCCCACTTCCTCCCCCTGGTTACCTCTTCCCTGTGTCCTTCCCTCCATGCACTCCTGCCCCCTGAGCTATCTCCCTGTGCATACACAGCCCTTCTATTCTCCCATGATTGTTCTCTCCAAGGAGTGTATCTACCTTCTGAAAATATTCACCTTATATGCCTGTCTTGTATGGCTGGGAGCCACAGGTATGGGTTCAATTCCAGACCTGAAGGGCCATAATCTCAGTGGTTCCATCAGGCTCTATCAGACCAGCAAACCTGGTTGCTTTTTTTGTTTTTAATGATTTTGAGTTTTGTTCCACATTGTTCTCCCACTCTATCAAGGATCTCCTACATAGATCACCCCCCTGAGTGGTTGACAGTGGTAGCTGGGTACCATCTAGTTCTTCTGGTCTCACAGTCATATAGGTTGAGGGTCGCATGGTGTACCAGTTGCTTGGACTAATTGTTTCCATGAATCTTTGGTTTTCTTCATTCTTCTTTGCCTGGGACGAGGAGAGTCCCATCATTGCATGTAGATCGCTGCTTACAAGCTTTTAAGATCCCAGTCGCTACTCACCAAAGTAGGATGCGGGACAATGTTTTGTGCAGCATGTTATGCCAATTGAGCTTGACTCTGCAACTATGGTCCCGAGCCCACAGGTCCAACTACTCCCTCCCTCTGGGTAGCTGGCTGTGGCCAAGAAGTGACTATAACCTTGTCCCTTGTCAGCTCTAGTATACACCTCCTATCCAGGTTCTCATCTGCTTCCCTTTAAACCTGTCTCACATCGTGTACATTAAACAGAACCTAGGAATCAAAACTAGATCATGAGTTATGCACTAAGATACTGATGATACGCTTTTTGTTGGCTTTCTTAGAATAAAAAGGAAAAAACAAAAACGGATCAAGTACGGTTTCACATCTTTAATTTTATGAAATTATTCTTCTGCTTCTTCAAAATACATTTTTATGAGTTAAAAACTCTCATAAATATTTTCAATTAGAACACATTTTGAAAAGTTCTGTTTTTGTGAAATATTCAGAATGTTTACTTTAGTATTTCTCAGGATCATAAAGTATTAGAGCTGGAAAGGATCTCCAAGATGACCTAGAACCCAATTCTTTCTTTTTACAAGAGGCAAAGTGATTCCCAGAGGAAGAAAGTGAGCAGGTTCAGATTATAGGACAGTGCACTGTTGTTTCCACAATAATAAGCTATATGCCAAAAGCTGATTATTTTAAAAAATATGCAACGTCATTAGAGTAACAAGTTGATTTAGTAAACATGAGATATAATATAGAGTGTGAAATTATGTTTTGTGGAAGTTAAATACCAAAGTAGCATAAACAAGTAACGCATTATTTTTTCGTTTAATGAATTACCTCTTTACAAATAATAGAAATGAACAAGAATGACTAAGAAATCTTATATAAATTTCATAGCTAGATTAATACTTAAGAAAATGGAATCATTTGCTTAAATAGTTTGTAATGAATCCTTAATAGCATCACCAAACCAGTGAGTGATATAAAGATGTAAATTATCTACAAAAAATTAGCAATGTCAGAAAAATAAATACTAATTTCTCTGTTTGAAGCTCTTAGGGACTTAAGACTCTGAAGTCAAATTAAACTCATATTAAATTTAACTTGTATTTTCTAGTGATAACACAGATAATCAAACCATATCTATATTTGAGGTTAATTTTTTTTCCCCCAAAAGGAACTTACCCTAAAGGAAATTTCTAGGTTTTCTCCTCCCCAAATATCCATTCCAGCATCATATGTTCCAATTTCCTGAAAGTAATCTCTGTCTATTGAAAAAAGGCCTCCAGCCATTGTTGGTGTTCTGAAATTCAAGCATAATACCATACCATTAATAATCATAATTTACAACTTAAAATCATTTTTTGTTTTTCAAAGTGTGTCATAACTCTTTTTAAGTACAGAACAACTGCTTGTTCACATATTCTCCAGAAGCTTCAGAGGCCCCCAGGGGCTGTCTGTATTTTTATGCCATGTTATTTGGCATAACATTATCTGCCATGACCCGCGCCCCAGTGACGATGACCACTGGATGTCCTCCCAATTACAGTCTCTGCCAGGGCATCCCTTTCTGTTCGCCACAGTCCTCTATCCTTAAGGCTCTTCCTGCCTTTGGCGGTTTTCTTGATTCTCAGGTCCTGACTTGAGCTTCCACCTTGAACTTCTTTAACTCTCTTCATTCAACTGTGTCTCCTACAGAGCTCCTAACAACTATAAATGCAGGTGACTATATGAACCGAATAGAGTTAATATAAGGATGCTTGGATGGCACAGATGGTTATGTGCTTGACCACTCTGGTAGGGTAGTGCCTAAGGCACTTGACTGCTAACCAGAAAGCTGGCAGTTCAAACCCACTAGCCACTCCTCGGAAGATGGGGCAATCTACTTCCCTAATGATACTGCCTCAGAAACCCAAGGAGGGGTCACTATGAGTTGGGTCCAACTCGAGGGCACATAACAACAACAACAACAACAACTATCCAAAAGGCTGGTGGTTCAAACCTACCCAGAGGCACCTCAAAAGGCAGCTCTTCGAGAGATTTGCCTCCCAAAGGTGGAGAGCCTTGAAAACCCTAAGGAGCAGTTCTACTTTGCACACATGGGGTCACAATAAGTCAGAATCAAGTTAACGCCAACTAACAAAAAACAGAAGGGCGCTCTGGTAGCATAGTGCCTAAGGCATTTGACTGCCAGAAGGCTGGCGATTGGGCAGTCTACTTCCGTAGATATACCACCTCAGAAACCCAAAGAGGGGTCACTATGAATCAGAAACAACAACAGCAGTGAGTTTTTTTTTTTTTAAAAACAACTGAGTTAATACATAATAAAAACATGGGGCGTGTATCCAAGATCATATATAGGGTTGGCAGACAATGGTCCTATAAGTTTATGTGAATGATCAGAATTCCCAGGTGTATAGTAGAGCTGACAAGGGGCAAGGTTGTGGTCACTGTTTGGTCACAGCCAGCTACCCAGAGGGACTGAGTAGTTGAACCTGCACGCTTGGGACCATAGTTGCAGGGGACATCAAGCTCAATTGGCATAACATACTATACAAAACATTGTTCCACCTCCTACTTTGGTGAGTAGCGACTGGGATTTTAAAAGCTAGCAAGCTGCCATCTAGATGCAACGATGGGTCTCTCCTCGTCAAGAGCAAAGAAGAAAAAAGAAAACCAAAATTAATGGAAACAATCAGTCCTAGCGACTGGTACACCATCCGATCTGCAACCTATACAACTATGAGACCAGAAGAACTAGATGGTGCCCGGCTACCACTGTCATCCACTTGGAAGGGATGTAGGAGATCCTGGATAGAGAGGGAGAACAATGTGGAACAAAACTCAAAATCATTTGGAGGAAAAAAAAGAAGGTGGGGACCAGGTTTGCTGGTCCAATACAGCCTGGTGGAACCACTGAGACTATGGCCCCTAGCTGCCCTTCAGGTCTGGAATTGAACCCACACCTGTGGTTGTCAGCCAAACAAAGTACAGGCATGTGAGTTAAACATTTACCTCAAGTAGACACATGCTCTGGAGAGAACAATCATGGGAGAAGGAAGGGCTGCTTATGCACAGGGAGACAGCTCAGGGCGCAGGAGAGTATGGAGGGATGGTCACTGGGAAGAGGTAACTATGGGGAGGAAGTGGGAGGGGAGCTGTTGCATTGTAAACTGCGGTCAATGACATGAGACAAAGTATATGTGAACTGCTGTATGGAAAGTGAATTCACTCTGTAAATCTTTACCCAAATCACAATAAATAAAATAAAATAAAATAAAATAAAAAATACATAATAAAACAGTTTACATATAATAATAAAGGGCTCTAAAGAGTGGCAGACATTGTAAAGATGTAAAATTAAACAGGATGAATATGAGTCCACTCTGTATACCTAACAGGAAAGGAGGACATGAAGAAAAGAATAAAATCAATATACTTCTCCTAAGAGGATCATTGTCCTGATCATGTATGGTATGTTCTTTATAGAAAAGGAGTCCAATTCATTAAAACATGGCTAGACGTGAAGAGGGAATGAATGGTAACTGGTGGAATCAGGCAGAGAAATGACAACAAAGGAGGATTTAAATAAGTATCAGTCAACCTTTTTAATTTCCATGAAGGATGAGTATAGAGAAAACATGGAGTCCAACCAGGTAATCAGTTCCAGTGACCAAGGATACTATTACTATAAAGATCATATTTTAGGGTGAAATGGCCACCTCTGTAACCCTGAAATATACACGACATGCTTTAGTGAGCGTGGCAGCATTTGTCCTTCCGGGGGGAAAGTTTTCACAAATAGATTAGGCTTACCTTGGTTTTAGAAGAGAAGAAGAATTAGACAAGGCTAGTATTTTAGGTGTTACAGGAAAAAGGCCAACACCCAGAGTTCTCATTTAGTACAGGGGTTTCTTTTTCTTTTTTCTTTTTGCAGAGTTTCCTCCCCTTTTCTCCCCTCCTAGCTCAGTACAGGGGTTTCTTGAAGGAGCTCTGGAGGTATAGTGGGGTTAAGGCATGGGCTGCTAACGGAAAGGCTGGGATTCAAACCCACCAGCTGCTCTGCAGAAGATGCAGCAGTCTGCTTCTGTAAAGATTTACAGCCTTGGAAACACACTGGGGGTTGCTATGACTTGGAATCCCCTTGATGGCAGTGAGGTGTTTTTTTTTTTTTTTTTTTGTGAGGTGTTTTTTTTTTTTTTTTTGACTTGGGTTTGGGAATATCTCTAAATTCCCTAGAACTGTACACTAAATCTTCCATTTTGTGCATGTACACTTTTCTCTACTAGAGAAGGTTCACAGTTTTATCAGATTTTCAAAGAAATACTTGATCTAAGAATGTTTAGGAAGTCCTGATTTAGATGGTGGACTGAACTGTGAGCTAGAGAAAGGAAAAGTCCCTTGTAACAGAAAGGACTTGGGCTGGTTAGGGAAGGATATAGAGTCAGCGAAAGCTCTCATCAGCTTTGCCAGGACTGGACTTGAGTTCAAAGGGCAGTAGAGCTAGGAGCCCAGGGCAGGAGAAAAAGGGGAAGCTGAAGACTGGTTCTGAAGACATTCTTAATAGTAACAGAAGTGGCAGGTGTCTGGTTTGAATTCTAGGATGACTCATAAAACACAAAGGTCTCAATTTAAAGGTCCTGAACAGAAGGAAGATTTTTATCTCTTTCTTAAAAAAAAAGTATGAATGACAGTGTAGAACAAAAGAAAATCAGACAATATATTAACAAAATTTCCTTTTTACATTTTGTGTCTATTCTAGTTATTTATGTTTGGAAACAAACTTTTCTAACCTTTCCACTCAGTAAGTATCATCCAGATATTATAATTCCAAATTTAAAATTTTACGTTCTCATCCAATGACCTAGTTTTGGAGAATATTTTCACATATTGACACTTAAAAATAAATAATCAAGGGAACAATCCGATTTAAGCTAAATATTATCTTTAACCAAATTAAAACACAAACCTGACTTATGCATTTACAAACTGCTGTTCATATAGGAACCCAAAACATACACATTTTGTCATTTCTCATGTATACTAGATATATATATAAATGAAAATTTATAATTTTATTAGTTGATGAGAGGGAGAAATGCTTCATATTTCTCAAAATGCATTTATCACTCTTGATAAGATTCCTGAAATCTGTACAATCTTCTGCTAATAACAACACTTTAGAAACAAAGTCTGACAAAGTAGCTACCTGACAGGAAGAGTTCGATCACCTTTCCTTCTGTCCATTTCTCTTTGGGGAACAGGATACCAGCGAAAATTGAGCTTCCAGTTGAATCCACCATAGGTCATATCGGAGCCTGCCATATACTCAAACGTATCATCACTGATGACATCAATGATAGGACACACGACTGTTCTCCTATGAACATAAAAGCAAATTAAAAGCTCTTAAAATTTTTTCCTGTAGGACAACTACATTAAGAATAGCAGAGTGACCCATATCAATTTAGTTTTGTATATTTCACTGTACATAAAATATATTTCAATAAAATTTTTTTAAAAAAAGAATAGCAAAGTGTTTTAAAAATGAAAAAAATGCATTCTATAATGCTAAAGAAAGTGGTGAAAAAAATTTGTTACATTCTACCAAGCTGGCATAATTAAAGATTTATTGATTACCATCCATACCTTCTTACATATATAAAAATACTTACAATAGCTCTACTGTTTTCAAAATTAGCACTTTAAGATAACTTTCTTAACAACCAACTCTTGGACATTAATGTTTTTTATGTCTTGCTACTAAGATATTACAGTGAACATTTATATAATAGTATTTCACTTTTGCTTTAAGAATGAACTTCTAAGAATGAGATTATGATTAAAGGGCAGTTGATAGGAGCTGCAAATCAAATGCCAAGAGAAGCCAAGTGCATACCAAAGACTTCAAACAGCAGCACCATGTGGCTGAGGCTAACGAGATGTCACTGGTTTCCAGAGGTGCCTCACTTTCTGATGGTGGTCTAATTCTAACTCCAACTCCCATGGAGTGTTCCAATGTATTCTCTGCCTTTGGCTTTCCTGCAGTTAGCATGAGTGGGTTTCTGCTTCATGCAAACCAAACAAACCAGCAAAAATAAGTCTTTTGAATCTCAAACCAAACTCACTGCCATTGAGTCGAATACGACTCATAACAACCCCTCCCTGGGTTTCTGAGGTGGTAGCTCTATGAAAGCAGATTGCCCAATCTTCCTTCCAAGGAGTGGCTGGTGGGTTTGTACTGCCAGCCTTCTGGTTAGCAGTCAAGTGTCTTAGACACTATGCCAAATATTTATTAAACTATGGCAGAAACTCTTTTGGGAAAGAATAATCATCCTATCAACACAATACCTACAGCCTGGATATTAGTTAGGTGTTGTTTTAAAAAATTATAGTTGAAATCAATCTCTCAGTACCTCAGATTTAAGATATGAAAAATGTTCCTTTATCCATTCAGCAAACATTTATTAAGTTTCTATAACTTGGCATCTGAAAGGCCTGGTGGTTCAGTGATTAAGCACTCAGCTGCTAACTGAAAGGTTGGCTGCTCAAACCCACCAGCTGCTCTGTGGGAGAAAAAAATGTGGTAGTCTTTTTCCGTAAAGATTACAGCCTTGGAAACCACGTAGGGCAGTCCCACTCTGTCCCACAGGGTCGCTATGAGGTGGAATCAGCTAGAGAGCAATGGGTTTTTTTGTTTGTTTCTTTAAGTTGGCATTTTACCAACTAATGAGGGCTACTAAATAACCTGACTAAATATCTCTGGTAGCATAGTGGCTAAAAGCACTTGACTGCTAACCAGAAGGCTGGCGGTTCAAACCCACCAGCCACTCCTCGGAAGGAAGGTTGGGCAATCCTACTTCCGTAGTGATACTGCCTCGGAAACCCAAGGAGGGGTCGTTATGAGTCGGGTTATATGACTCGACGGCACATAACAACAACAACAACAAATAACCATGCCTTAAGGATGTAAGATATGGTAATAAGTTTCTCATAAGACCAGTTTCTGATAGGAAAAAGATTTAGCCAAGTCTCAGTCTGCATAAGCTACTGAGGACAAAGAACTGAGGAACACTGAGCAAACAGCTGAAGTATAACAGGAAATTCCAAGAATTAAGAAACATAAAGGGAAACATTAGTGCATGAACCTTGAGGAGAAAAGACCATTAGATATAATTACTTAAAATCCATTCACGTTTTAAAAATAAACACTTGTAGATTACACTTGCTATATTCCAGGCTTTGTTCTAAGTGCTTTAAAAATATTAAATAATTTATCCTGTATTTTAACAATATGGTACAATTTTTTATTTCTGATGAGGACCCTGAGGTACAGAGAACTGGATCGCTTAAAGTCATACAACTATTGAGTGGCTGAGCCGGGATTTTAATCCAGCCTTCTTGTGCTAAAATCTGTGCTCTTAATCATTACGCTGACAACAGAAATTCTGGTTTCTTTTCACACTTAAAATTTACAGGTAGGCCAAGTAATAACCATAACAACACACAATTAAATAACATTTTACTCATATAGTTACAATTATAGACAAGTATTTTTGTCTTTTTTTTCTGATGGAGCCATGGTGGCACAGTGGTTCAGTGCTTGGCTACTAACTGAAAGGTCAGTGGTTTAGATCCACCAGCTAGCTTCCTGGTAAGATAGATGAGACAGTCTGCTTCTATAAGGATTTACAGCCCTGGAAACACTACGGGGCAGTTTTAGTCTTTCCTATAAGGTCAGCATGAGTCAGACTTGATTCAATGGTAGTTTTTTTTCCCCCCTAATTAGAAAATTAATGCCTGTTTATTAGAGAAAAGCAGAGTAATAATGTGTGAAAAAAGACGGGAAATAAATCTCTTATGATACACTGTGGTACTATCATCATTAACATTCTGGGGTTTTCCCAGGGATAAAAAAAGTAAAACCGGGATCCTGTGTATGGCTTAAGAAGTGGTGGTACAGTGGTTAAAGTGCTCAGCTGCTAACCTAAAGGTCAGTGCTTCGAACCCACTAGCTACTCTGTGGGAAGAAGATGTGGCAGTCTGCCTGTGTACAGATTTACAGCCTTGGAAACCCTATGGGGCAGTTCTGCTCTGTCCCACAGCATCTCTATAAGTCGACTCAGTGTCAACAGGTTTTTTATGTATGGCCTTGGTATCCAGCTTTTTTTTCACCTGATTATTATACTATGAACATTTCCTCATGTTATCAATGTTTTCTGGAAACATTTTATATTTCTGCATAACATTCCATTTTATGAATGTCACAGTTTATATAAATATTACAGTGAATATCCTTACATACAAATCTTTGTATTTGATCATTTCCTTAGAAGAGAGTCTCAAGAATGAAAAATCTTGGCCAATGGGGATGAATTCTAATGCTCTAAACACCTATCTCCAAATTAGATGACTGTCTCAGTTTGCAATCTTACCTGTGGTAACAGAGAGGCCATGTTACCGTTCCTCGCCAGCTCAGATTTTTTTTTTTTTTTAAATCCACAAACAAAACATTTTTAAAAAGAAATATATTTCTGTGCTTGGGTATGTCAGGTAAAACTCTGGATGTATAAACTACTAACGTCTTCCTGAAGAAATGAAACTCAATGGGTTTGCACTTCTGCTTAGGATATGTATGTTGTTGTTGTTATGTGCTGTCAAGTTGAACTTGACTCATAGCGACCCCTCCTTGCGTTTCCGAGGCAGTATCACTATGGAAGTAGATTGCCCAACCTTCCTTCCAAGGAGTGGCTGGTGGGTTGAACCACCAGCCTTCTGGTTGGCAATCAAGTGTCTTAGGCACTATGCTATCAGAACTTCTTGGGAGATATATATATATACATTTAAAATTTTATTGTGATTTGGGTGAAAGTTTACAGAGCAAATTCACCTTCCATACAGCAGTTCACATACACTGTCTTATGACACTGACTGTGACCTCCCACAATGCAACAGCTCTCTTCCCACTTCCTCCCCATAGCTACCTCCTCCCTGTGTCCTTCCCTCCCATGTACTCCTGTCCACACCCCCCAGCCGTCTTCCTGTGTATACACAGCCCTTCGACTCTCCCATGACTGATCTCACCAAGAAGTGTATCTACCTAATGTAAATGTTCAGCTCTTATGCCTGTTTTTTTTTGTTTGGCTGGAAGCCACAGAAGTGGGTTCAATTCCAGACCTGAAGGGCAGCTAGGGGCCATAGTCTCAGGGGTTCCATCAGGCTCTACCAGACCAGCAAATCTGGTCTACTTGGGATATTTTTATAAAGTCTGAATTTTATAAAAGAACCATTCTGTAATCAGCAAAAATATGACCCTTGCTTTAACTGGCATTTTTGTGGTTACTAAGAATATTTCATATTTACTAGTAGTTTTTATTTTATCTGTAAATTCCCTATTCATATTATTTATTCATTTTTCTTCTGCACTACTGATATTAATATGTAAGAATCAGTAAGAATGCATGTTATTAAAAACTTTAGCCTTTATGCTTATATATGAAAAATATTTTCAGTTTATTTACTTTTAAAATTTTGCTGATGATGAAGTTTGATGTGTAGAAATTTAAATATTTATCTGTTAAAATCTACCAATATTTATTGTGATTTCTTCCATGGACTCAAAGTTCATAAGTCTTTTTTCAACTAATATCAGTTAAATAGTCACCTGTGGTTTAGCCTTTTTTTTTGTAGTTCAATCTTTTTATATTTGGAATTTATTTTTATTTACTAACACACTTCTAAATAAAAATGATTATTTTACTTTCTGCTTTCCAATAGTTTGAATTCTCATTGTTGTTTACTGTAGTCATCAGGACATTCTGAACAGTGTTGATAGCAGATAATCGCATCTTACTCCCTTTTTAGTGAAAATCCTTTGGTATTTCCCAATTAAGTATGATGTGGGAAAGTCATTCAAATTATAAGGAAGTTGTTGGTTTCCTGTTTGCTCTTAATCAGGAATGTATGATTAATTTTGTCAGAGTCTTTTAAGATGCTACTGAAATGATTTTGTGGTTTTCCTTATTTGATAGATTATATTGGTATGATATATTCAATGAAGGGATTTTTCAATATAAAACCATCCCTATATTCTCAGTAAAAGAAAACTTTATTACAGTAGAATTCTCAAATAACGTATCACCAAATTAGGTCTGTCCATAGTTCATTCAGGGTCTTTCCAGCCCTATTCATGATTTGAGTGGTTTAAACCTAAGGCATTTGACTGCTTACCAGAAAGCTGACAGTTCAAACCCACCAGCCACTCCTCAGAAGGAAAACTGGGCAATCTACTTCTGTAGTGATACTGCCTCGGAAACCCAATGAGGCATTGCCGTAAGTCAACTCCACTTGACGGCAGTAAGTTTGGTTTTTTTTTGGTTT